AAAAGTATAGGTTTCACATTATATTTTTTCAAGATTTCGCATCTTATTGCAAATTTGGCATGAAAATGTTTCTTTTTGTAATCTTCTCTTTGTTCTAAACCTTAAAATGGACCTTCACAAGACATTTGCGACGGGGTCTCACTTAAACCAACTGCATAAGTCTTTCGAACATTTTTATCCACTTCTAACATTCACAACGCGTTCTCGTTCCCACCACTATTCACATTCTTTAAAAGTGCAGTTTTTATTCCACTCATTGAATGATGCTAATTTGCGGTCAAACGAATTGAAAACTGTGTAGGGCCTATACAATGTTGTTGCCCGTCAATTTCTCTCAATAAGGGAAATTTGGAGAATCGATCTTGAGAAAGTATCCACAGTAATTAAAAAGGACAAGAATATGAATATTCTATCGTCAAGATTAACCCGAAGTTCAGCTGCAACCTTGCACAGGTTCGGTACCCAACATCGGCTAACGCCGTGATAAGGTTCAGAAAAAGGCTATGCTGCTTTAGATTCCGAGCAGGGTGGTCGTGACTGCATGTGTAACCTACCTTTTGTGGAGTTCTCGAACGTGCTAGTAAAGCTATATTATTTCTACCATGATCTTCATCCATTGCCGAGAGGAGTAATTTTTGCAGTTCATATTAGTGAATTACTGGGCTTCTCACAAGAGTCAACTGTTAAGATTTGTGGATATCATTGGACTAGGGGATCCCTGTAACAACTTCTATCTCCAGTCTGTCAGCAACTTGCGCCTACTTCTGAGCTGTAATTTTTGAAGTCTGCTTGTTTGTGAACTAAAAAGTGCATTTAACTAATTGTATCCATACTTAGACTAGCATCGAAGGGGTTAGAAGCCAAAAAAGAGAGTACCGATTCTCTGCAGCTATACGAGATAATATTATTTCGACAAATAAAAAGCTACAACATTGTTTTTCAAGATTTGATAGTGTAATCACGATATTCCTAAATTTTAAAGGGTTATATACAAATGGCACGAAAAATCAAAGAGGCGCCAAAAATTATGAATTAGGTTGGCATTTATTAATATTTTGATTATGTTATTTTTGAGGTTATTCTTGAAACCTTTTCTAGCATTTTTGTATCGACGAGGTTACTTTTATGCCAGTTCAAAAGTCTCTCCATTTGATTTGCACGCAAGAAATTGAAACGCTGTAGTTAAGAAGAACCATTGCGGAAAAAAAGCAATGTTCTCCTAACCAAAGTTCAACAAATCTTAACCAAAGTTTGTATTTATTGTATATTGAAAGTGAAAGGACATATTGCATAAAAATCAAATTGAAGAAGAACTGAGGAAGAAAAGGGATATAATCATTAACTAGTTGTGATTTATAATTATTCATGATTCCTCTAAACCATAAAGCATACACATTCCCAACTGAAGTGTAGGTGCACTGTGGATTTCCACGTATGACCTATCCTCGTCCAGAGCTTGATGTTTGATATGCAATCATTTCAACTTGAAATAACAGATATTACCGCAATTTTTATTTGATGATGGTTCATTTCATTTTTCGATCAACAGGATAATGCGGCTGGTGTTTTCCGCCTTCTTTGTGAGTGCAATCAGCGTAGGCGTGTACCTTTTCGAGAAGAGGCGAGAATTAAAGTTTGAACTTGCGCAGCTGGAGATCACGCGTAACAACAACTTTAAAACTTTCTCCTAATTATCCTTAAGAAGGAGATTTTGCTGTACATTTGCGCATACAGCCATTCAGGTAGCCCTAATCACGTGCGTAAAGTCGTATGCCTCAATAACTCTTAAATTTAATTTGGTCTGTCACCGTAATATGACGAACCCGTTCAGAGCTGAAGTTACAATGATGGAGGTAAGTGCAGTTGGGCAAATGCTATGGTATACCTTCGTAATATGTTACTTTTTAATATTTTCTCCTTTAGCGCGATCTCATCTGGGATGATACCCTTGACTCTTCAGAGGGCGCTAGACAGGAGGACCCACACAAGCTATACTTTGTCCTTAGCTCAGATCCGCAACTTGATTGGGATGGTGAACTGAATATATACCTCAAAATCAAGCACAACTGCTTTGACGACGTTAGTCCAGTCTAAATGATGTTGGTTAATCGTAATTGAAGCACATTTTTGTTCAGGGGAACTCCTCCATAGAAATTAAACACTACGTTAAAGACTATTTGATCGTCAGTCATCACAGAGAAGACATATTGGACGATATTGTCCTTGGATAAACCTTTTGCAGCAATAAATTCTTTTATGGTGTAAAGAAGAATAAAGTTTAAGAATTGCATAGAGCATGTTTCGAGCTTTCAATTTTGTTGCATGGGTAAAAATTTGCCTAATAGTACATTCCTATGCGTTTTGTCATATTTCTTATGACAAAACGCATAGGCATGTATTATTAGATAACTTCATACCTACATAACTTATCGCAACGTTTTATAGCTGTTGACCTAAGAGAGCTTGATTTCAAGATTCTCGAACAATATTAGTTGAGGGAACGGTCGTTGATATAAGAATTTACGGGTGAAATTTGCAATAGTAATGACTTATATTCATATTTTTACATCAGATAGCCTTGCCATTGGAAATTGATTCAGTTGCCTAATATTAGAACAACGTCAAATTTGTCGTATCATAGTATAGGAATTTTCTGGCCACCGCAAACCCGCGAGCTATCCATTAGCCATAGAGCAATCAAATGACTTAGAGGACGATAATGATAATAGATAAGAATGCTATTGTTTGAAAAACGGCTCGCTATTTTGGTGAACCATAAGAGTACCTCGTGGTCAAGTTCAAATTTTTCACCCTTTTACAAACTCCTCTCCTCTCATTCCCCCTTTTCGTCTCATCTCCCACTACAATTAACGTTCTCCATAAAAGTTTTTGTTATTCGCCAGGCTTCGGCGGCAGGTCTCCGGA